CTTATGTATGGGCACACCTTAAGTTCAGAGGAGCCAATCAGCGCATCGTTATCGCCGACATGCCCTGCTCAGCCAGGGTCTCCAGTTAGTCAAACATTATACAACACAGTCGCGCTGCTGCGGTCATCTGCAACACATCTGTTAGTGCACGCAAAGAATACAACGGATAATTTTAACAAGCGATCGCGGTAATGCGCAGATTATAGTCCACAAATATAAAATGTATAACGTAAAAATCACTTTATAAATTATTATTTTATACAATTTGCCGAGGGTCCGGACAGAGGAGGTCCGGACAGAGGAGGTTCGGACAGAGGAGGTCCGGACAGAGGAGGTCGGCGGTCCGGTCGTGGATCGCGGTCCGCCAGTTGAGGAAGGCTGCCCTATTGTGTTGTATTGCATTCCTTGAGCGTTGTTCCATCTAGTGGATGTGTAATGCAACCGCAGCCGCTATTGCAGCTTCTATTCTACGCGATTTATAAAGCGGTGCGTCCTATATATGAAAAAAGTTTTAAAATAGGCCAGTCATTGAAGGTGCGCCTTATACTCTGGAGCGCCTTATAGTGCGGAAAATACAGTGTCAAAGCAAGTTGGGGAGAAAGCATCCTACGTAAAAGTAGATAATAAAGTTAATACAGATAATAAAGAATACAGTAAATAATAAAGTTACATATGGATGTGCATTCAGTAAACATTAAAAATAAAGTGCATTTTAAATGTTCTGACGTCTGCTCGATAGCGACATTAGCTGCTCAGTGTGAGAAAATTAATCTTTATTTCCACATTTTCAAAATTCTGTTCACAAACATTACTGTGGGACGGTTAGTGCAGTGGATCTACTTTACATATACTGTATCGGGCATCGTGTCGGGACCAGCAGCAGAAGACCCTGATCGCAACACATCTATTTTTGATTAAACCAGACCAAATTGGACCGCTACATTTTATAATGCACCGTCCTTGAATCGTATCGCACCCCATATCGTGATAGACAAAACGAACTGTCTTTTATGAGGGATGCACTCCAGGTATAAATTGGTTCGTTGTTGCAGACGATTTGATTTAGTTTCTTTGAATGTAATTAACTTAAATAGTTTGGGCTTTGGGGTGATTTTGAATATAGTTGCATATTAAATAACATGACAAAAGCTACAACCACAGCATATTAGTCGAGTCATAATTCCACTCAATCAAACCAAATTGAATTGTTCCACTTGAAAATGTACAGTTCTTGATATGTATCATTCTCAATGTATCGAAATATGTATCAAACTATGTATTGAATCATTTTTTTATTGATGGGATGCACACCCCTAATATATACATACATACATAGTTTTTATTTTTATGTACTTATGACTATTTACTATGACAAAAATATATTAATTGTACTTACAGGTATTTCTTGTTTTCGTAGACATCGTGCAGCTTTAATACATGAGGATGTTCTATGAGTTTCAGAATGGCTATCTCCCGCTCAACCTGGACAAGAAAACAAATACATGTGTTAGTCAAATAAGGGGAAAAAATTACATACATAACTAACTTATAGAGAGTTACACAACAAACATCCTCGGGAAATCGAGGTCCAAATATTTCATTCATCATATGAATTCTATGAGCCATACTTTGTCTGGTCACTCACATTGGATGTTTTTGCCATGGGTGCCCCTACCAGGGATATGAAGCCGAAAACAACCTGGCTCCTAGGATCATTGGGACACACAAACCCATCAACCACGATAAGGTGACGGCTCTGGGCGGGGTAATTTTGGAAACGTGTCAGTGAATGACTACAGTAACCCTAGGAAGATGATGTGCTCTGCTTGCCCTGACCCACACCATGCTGGCAGCAACGTGGCTAAACAGAAGATGGAGGATCAGATATAAACTCAAGTACAACATTCACTACAGGCTACTTTTTTCCCCATGATGTCTGGCTACGGTGGCTTGTTAAGCGCCAAAAGGCACGTGTATCGTGTAGTTGGTGCGGATCAGCAGTGTTTTTTTTTTTTTTCTTTTCCCCACACCTGAAGCGAAGTGCCGTTTGGAGGCGCACCAAGACCACCTCAAACAATGTGTCTCGATCTGGTTGTTTGATCTGCACCAGACCCATAAAAGAAAAGGTCCGGACCAGTGTGGTAAATGAGGCCTGGTCCGTTTAAGGTGTGTGAATATATCCCTTAATGAATTAAGAGGATGGACTTTGGTTCCAGAGCTGTGCTTCTGAATCCCCATTTAATTGAAACATGATACAGAGTTGAAGGGCATGAGTGGTGATAAATTGGAACATCCGCTCTCTCATCAAGGCGCCATCTGTTGTTATGATGGCTGGGCCGTCCAGAAGAGGGGGAACTAAATTCTTAATGAATTCTAAAACAAGAGAATAAATACAAAGAGCGGGTTTGAGATTATTCAGTTAAATGAGGAGCATATACTGTATACACACACACACACACACACACACACACACACACACACACACACACACACGCACACATACATGAGTGCACACTTCATGAATTCATTCCGTGACCACACGTAACTCAAAACACTTCAATCTAAAATAATCTTTTACTATTGAAATTAATGGAGCTATTCATTTGTTCCAGCCTTCATCCTTCCAAAAAAAAAAAACAAAAAAAACAACGTAAATAATCATCATGTATATTTTATTCATTCATTCCTTCATTCTTCAATCCGCTTATCCTCACAAGGGGGTGTTGGAGCCTATCCCAGCTGTCTTCGGGCAGTAGGCGGGGGACACCCTGAACCGATTGCAAGCCAATCACAGGGCACACAGAGATGAACAACCATCCACGCTCACACTCACTCCTAGGGACAATTTAGAGTGTTCAATCAGCCTGCCATGCATGTTTTTGGAATGTGGGAGGAAAAAAGCCTGCGTGGGTTTTTTCCAAAACCCACGCAGGCCCGGGGAGAACATGCAAACTCCACAAGGAAGGCCGGAGCCGGGAATCGAACCCTGCACCTCTGCACTGTGGTTAGCGCATTGACCTCGACGCGCTAACCACTGGACCGCCCATGTGTAATTTAATGAGGGAAAATTGCACCCCAAAATATCAGGGTTCCCACTCTTCCACTTGCCTTTTATTTATGGACCTTTTTATGACTTTTGTGGTCCAATTTAGCCATTTTTTTAAGGACTTTTTCTCCATTCAGCGGGGGATTCACGGTGGATTTAATGCCCACTCAGCAATACATGGGCTGAACAGAAAGCCACATATCACTGAGCTGGTCAAATCATTGCTGCCAAAGGAAGGAGACATCTTTATTTTTAGGGGCAATCACTTAACCCTTTATTTGACATACTGTATGTCAAATTTTCACGTTGCTACCTGTATCACAGGTAGGAAAATGAAAAAAAAACATTTTTAATTAATTCTCAAATAAAACACACAAAGAAAAATTTAAATTGAGAAAATATAAAACTTCAATTCATTTTCGAATAAACAAAACTCTAAGAACAGAGCTAATGGTCATATGGGTCACCTGGACAGGGTTTAGAAAAAGCTGGTTTCACTAACAGTAGTACTGATTGCCCATCTTAGCAGTATCCAGTATACCTGAACAGCTGAAATGCATGTCATAAGTCTAAATCCCAAATGGTCCAACCCTATTATTCTCCCTCATATCACCTTCAATGATCAGACATGTTTTATAATGACAAATATGAAACTGATATGACAATTAGGGAATAGCAGACAGTGACTTAGTTTTCTCCTCAATCTCTTTTGCAAGTTCTTGG